GTCTCTTTTTCTCCCCAAACCGCACACAACGAGCCGTTTACGAACAAAAAATCGTTTTGACAACCTTTATCACGTAGTCTTAAGATGTTAAGGATTTGGGCAAAATTTAAAATATCATTTGAATCTAAATTAATAATTTTTATGCTCTTTTTTTTATTAATACTTTTAATTGATTATAAATCTTTATGGTCTTGCAGTCAATTAATTTTTTTATAAATACTACTCATCAAAGATGTATATATATATATATAATTGATTAGTAGTACTTCGAGCCAAAACGAGCCGTTTCGACAACCCTAATCTCAAATTAGTTTCCTTCGAAATACACAGATAAAAAATGTACAAAAATACCATTTAATTCTTGTGTGCTTATATATACAACACCTAAGCTTCCATTTTGGTAAATATGTCAACTTATCAACAAAAATGTGTGCTTCACTTCTTAAAAATGAAAAAAAAGAGACATTATTTCTCCTAAAGTTTGAGTTGCATGAATGCAAAAAACTAAGATAGTGTTAGACAAGTAAATACTTAAGAATTAGGTTGGTATATGTTAAAGGCCATTAATACAAATAGCCTCGGAAAAAAAAGTCACAAGCTAAACTAAACAAATCAACAGAGTTGCTCATCTCTTGAGGACTTTAATCAAGATTATATCTCTATGACATGATTTGACTTCCAAGTCAAATAATCAGCTCATACAACAGCCTCCTAAAAAAAAAAAAAAAGAACTACATGGATCAACCATCCCCACATGCTGTCATAAACTCAAATCCCTATTTTTAAAATAATAGATGTGAAAGCTGTCTCCTTTATCGCTACTTGGGGCAATAATTACTAGCTTTGTCAGCAACCGAACCATCCATTCTTAATCAAGCGAGGCAGAGAAAGTTGTCGGCCAAATGCTAAATTTAACGGCTAACAATTCAAACCTGAACGAAAATATCAGTCAAGACTTCATCAACCAAAGAAGTAAAGATCTCCATCTCCATTTCCACTCCTAGTTCAAAAGCTTCAGTGTCGAAATCCACCCATCTCCCTCTGCGACTGCTCATATCTCTATCCACCAACTCATCAACCATGCAATCACCAAAGCCTTCCCACCTTGAAATTTCCTCATATAAATTTTCTGCCATGTGCTCAGAAATCAAAGCTTCCCCACTAGCCCAGGCTTGGTATCCTGACCTCAAAAACTGGCTGTATTTGCTTTTCAAACATTCATTCACGCAATCAAACATCATTTTCCTTCTTATCCTCCCATCCTTGCCTTTCTTGTTCTCTAACTTGCTGAAGAGATGAGGATCCAGAGGACGCAATGCTGAATCCATGGTGCATATTCTTCTGTTGTTTAGTATGTCTCTGACGTAATTTAAGTCCGGATTGTTTGATTTTCGGGGGTTTGATTGATTTTCTGAGGAAAATATACTTCTGACCGATGACGGTGATGAAGAGGATGATGAATATGAATGTTCCAACATAGGTTCCAATGAAAAAATTTTATTTTCGGTGTATGAGCTGCTGATGTTCTGTGCTTGGACAGAGCGCAAGGACATGTTGCTTCCTGAAAAGATGCATGAGTGATTGAGATTAGGAAGACTGGTGAGGTGAGAAAATGATGATATAAGAAAGTGAAATTTTAGAAGTTCTAGTAAAACCATTGGAGCTGGTACTATTAAGGGACGAGTTGGAGCCTTCACTTAAGGAGGCATCCAAAATGGAAAGTGGGCTTGGCTGCAGACTATCAGCTTGATTCCAGGCGTTACTGTTCCTGCTGTATTCTGCTTCTTCAAGTCCCTGTTGGGAGAATTTGGAACGGTGTTGTGAATATAATAGAAAAAAATCAGCTGTGTGGGTTTACAATTGGATTAAAGTGAAAAACACAGTTATATATTCCAAGGAAAACATCAGTTAAATATGCCTAATCTCATTCCAAATAAAAGTAATTCTAAAGTACATATTAAACAGCAGAAGTGGATCATGTTCATGATATTTAATAAATCAGAATTATGATATATAATCTAAAGAACTGTAGCAGCATGAACGAGTGTATTCTAGAAAAGAAGTAATTAAAGTTGAGCATACTATGAAAATTCAAACCTCAAAAAGTCCAGAAGTGACACAAGCTCATGGAGAGCAAGAGAAATTGTCAAAAAATTAAATAAAAAAAATGAAATCAAAGAAAAGACAGAAAACCCTATCCAAAGCCCAAATTTAAGGATTGACGTGATAAAAAGCAAGTTAGTCCTAGTTTCATTGCTATGAGTCTTGCCTCTAGATTTCACTGCAGCCTTCCCCCAAGGGGATGATGCTAATTTCATATTATATTTATGTGCAATAAACAAAAGTAGTTGTATTCAATCTCAAATCTATAAAAAAGGAGAACTGGTTTGTCTGAGAATTTTTAGACATGGAATCTTGAAATTGCTCATGGTAGTTCTCCTTTCACTGTTCTTCCCTGTCTTTCCCTGACAGAAACAACACCTACGTTAATTACTGATTAAAGACGAATCAAGTTCAAGACAAACTTCAAGACAAGATCAAGAAAAACCTACGGAACACAAAATTTTCATTATTATTATAACTTGGAAAGAAGCAAAATAAAAATTGACAGCTTATTTGTAATCTACAAAATTAAAATACACGAACAAGCAAGAAACAGGTTTCAGTGAGTCAAAATCACATCAAACTAATTTGGAATGCAGGGAATGATGGGCGCAAAAATCGAGGAGATCAAGATTCTAACTTAATGAATTATGATAACCAAAGAAAGATTTCTAGGGAAAATTCAGTACAAGTCAAAAGCTTTTACAATGTTTTTAGTGTTCGGGTTAGATTTGTTAGTAGTTGCTATCTTGGAAGAAGAGATATAGGCTCTAAAGATGAGCAGATCTTGCAAAATATGCAATGGTCAGCTATGTAGATTTATTGTAGGTAACTTTTGGCAATAAGAGAGGGACAGTAAAATAAAAGGATATGCCAATTATAGACGTTGGTAACAACACTGCATAGGGTGCCTTATAAGTGACTTAATTGATGAGCCCAATCAGGTGATTGATTTCATGATAAGAAAAGGTGGCAACATGCATATGAGGTCTCATGTGCCCCACATTTACTTAATTTTTTGATAGTACAACATATGTATAGAAAAAAGGAGCATAATTTGCTGGGAATTAGGAGGGACCTAATTCAACTAACCGAGAGTAAATCAAATCAACAAAATAAAAAGCATAAAAAATAATAATTTTATACATGTTTACGTAATTTAATGCCTACTTCTGCTGCCACCGTTGCAAGCACCTAGTCTGCTTTAGGTATTTCTTCGTCAAGCATTAATTAGTCTTCACAACTTAACAAAATAACGGGACTTACCCTCAGCAATAATATAAAAGTACTATAATATAAGAAAATATAGATTTCTATTTTTAAAAAATTAGCACAACTTACAATTTTGGCATGGTAAAAACTAAAAATTTTTTAAAATTCAGTTCAGCTCGATCTTATGGTTTATCATGGCTATCAACAACCCTCTCTCTCTCTCTCTCTCTCTCTCTCTCTCTCTCTCTTTCAATCTCTTTTTGCTTCCTCCTCACTAGATTTCCTTCCTTAATCCAAAATCACAACTATCAACAACCCTCCATTCCCACAGTGTTGGATAGGAAGAAAGCAAAGGTCATCGGGATTAAAAAAATCCCATCAGATAATTTTCTTATAAATTAAAAAGTATAGTTTGGCCACGTATATGATATCCCATATTCTGCATAAAGACAACCTGAATTCAGCTGAAATACTCTTTAACAATGCCCGGTTTAGACTGAACTCTTAAATATCTTAGCTAAAGTAATCAGCGGGACAGGGCCAATAATTAACTTCTAAATTAAATACTAGAAAAAAATGAATTAAAAAAATAGTAATAGTCATCATTTTAAAATGAAGAGTTGGCCCCATGTACCTGCAAATTGCAAGTCAACCCAAACACCTGCCCATTTGTGGAAGAAGTACCACATGAATATGTAAGAGACTGATGGTCTCTACCAGAAGACCTTGGCTTAAATTGCCTCTCCTGTCCTACAGCATTACTGCTTCCAGAATCAATATCACATAGCTTCTCTTGTTTGAGAGGTATAGAAGACGAGGAGCTAGCAGCTTCAATAAAATTGCAATAAGAAGACTGATTACCAGATGTTAACTCTCTCAGTTTCTGTTCTAACAGAATGCTTAGAGCATCACCAGTTATCACATTAAGGCCATAAGATGAGATATGCTTTGCAGAAAGATCATTCTTCCGAATATCAGTGGCGCAAATGTTCCTCTTGTCACAATTTTCCTCAGCTGGAATGAATGATGGAGCTCCAGGTCTAGACTTTACTAATGGAGAGTTGAATGTAAAGGATACAACATCAGCACCATCATTTTTAATATGTTTGTTCCACCTTGATTGTTCATCGATCAAGACGTCTGATTGAACATGTTTTGGTTTAGATGCAATGTTATCAACAAAAGAGTTTCTCTGAGAATTGAAACCCCTTTCGGTCAACCTCTTCTTTCGAGGGAAGTTCTTATTGCTAGATAAAAGACCATCAAGTTCTGTAGTACACGTATCTAAAGTTTCCTCCCTACACACAAATCTGGAATTCCCTGACAACTTACTAGAGCTCTCATTCTTCCTTGAAGAAGCGTCTCCATAGATATTTTTTCTCTCCTGGTGGTTAGAAACTGACTGCTTCGAAGTCACCTTGCCTTTCCCTGACAAACAGTTTTGCTTCTGGTTATTTTGTCTCAACACGCTAGATCCACCAGCTACAGAAGTTTTCTTCTGCTGCTTAATCCTGTGGTTACTTTGCTGGCCCTTGAATGGTTGGTTTAATTTAACTTCATCAGCATCTTTTGCAATTAGTGATGCATTCTTTCTGTTTATGCTCAGGCCTTCCCTCTTTTGGACATTTACCTTAGCTTGAATTGCCAGGGAAACAGATTTACCCTTACCCATTCCATTCAATGAATTTGTATCACTAATATCCTGAGAGGAACAACCTTCTGAACCATTCCAGCTCCTATTTAGAGATTGTCCTTTTAAGTACTTCATATCACTAGATTCAACAGTTCTTCTACCTGACTCTAGAACCCTCGATGTCCTTTGATAAGAAGCTACCTTATCTCTTGGTTCAGAAACTTTAAGAGGTCCGTATGAAGAAGAAACCTTGGCTTTGGTCTTCACTGGAAGGGCTGGCTCAAGAATCTTAGCTGCAGCTTCCATTATATGCGCAGCATTTTCAGGGGAGATGAACCCAGGGTTTTTGATAGGTGACATAAGCTTGTGATGGATTTGTGGAACTGCTTTAACTGATCTCGGAGGCAATGCTTCTATTTGAAACCTTTCAATTGGGCTGCTTGGCAACTTCTGACACCTAAATTCCATTGGCTTCCTGCTGTGGACCTCTATTCTACTACGAACATGATTGAATTGGTCATTTATTAAAAAATCAGGACTTCTTTTGTGACTCAAAGATCTTATATCCAGAAAAGGCGTGGAATATGGTTCAGAAGTGCATGAAGTTGGAATTGAATCTAAACCCATAAGTCTTGCTACTACTCCTGGTTCCCTGATCCCATTTCGTTCATCCGTTACTGAAGAAGCGCAGCTGTAGTCACTGCTATCTTTTATGCTTGATATTCCAACAGCTTCATCTTCATCAACCTGGCCAAGGTAGAAAGCATCATTTATTCTACCAAGTACACTTCAGTATGCATAGAGAAAGCGCACAATCAAAAGAATACATAAAAAAAAAGTAGACTAGACGACGAAGACCACCCACCAATACAAGTTTTATGCCATTTAAGTCGGCTTCTGTTCTCTTATCCTGCTTCGTGCTTTCTACAAAGACAAATAAAACAGGAGTAAAATTCTCCCTACATACATGAAAGAAAAAAAAGAACATAAAAGCAATTTAGGAATCAATTTTCGTGTAACATAGAGAGAAATGGATTACCAGGTGAAACAGAGAAGAGTTTCTTCCTCGATTTCCTGTTCCAATCAAAGATGTGAAAGAAACCTCTACTCTTTGGCCCTCCCTTCTCAGCCCCCATTATTTTCTCCGAAATAGGAAAGCCTAAGGTTTCCCCTCTCTTCAATGTATCAACGTTTCGTCTTCCTAACAAAATGTCCAGAACATAGAAATTCCGTAAAATGAAATCATCCCTAGCTGCCTTAGATTACATCCACAAGAGCAAACAGAAAAATCACCCAAATCTCCAAAAGAAAGACAAAACCCAACAATTTAACTAGGTCAAAAAAGAAAAAAACACGATGTTCATCTGTAAGAAAAACAAATAAATAAATAAAAACCAGCTTCTCTCGAAAACTTTCCCGAACTTTGAAAAAAAAAAAAAAAATCCCAGCAGCTATAATGGACGAAAAATTCAAAAGATCGAGGGAACCTCATTCAGATTCGGCATAACAACGCAGTTATTTCACCACAGCAAGAACTTGAAAGCCGATAAAAACGGCTAGATCTCACCAGCCTCCCCGTTCTCTGCCAACTCAAAGTCAAAAAAAAAAAAAAAAGGAAAAATCCGCAAACCTCCGTTCAAAAATCACTCTTCACTCAAAAGCATTCACTGATCTCTGAAACTATGGCGAAAGGACTACAGACCTGTATTATTTGCGGCTTCAGGCCCGCTGAACTTGGTATCGAACTAGTTTCCGGCAAGGCTTACTGGCATTAGACAGCAAGGGATCGATCTGGTGGAGAAGCTGAGCGAGCGGGTCGAAACCATTAATGAATGAAAGTGGCAGAAGGGAGAGGAGAGAGAGAGAGAGAGAGAGAGCTCGGGCATTAACTTCTTCAGCGGTAATAAATTAATCTGGAATACAATAACTTATAAGCACAGGAGAGGGAATAGAAAAAAAAAACACAAAAAAGGTGAGCGAGGAAAACGATAACCTAACGTCTCTATTTCAAGTTTGGAGTGCCATTTCAAATTCCGAACCGCAACTGGCGACATCATTAAGCCATAAACGAGAATTAAACGAAGGACTCCACACATACAGCTGATCGCCCCTTAACAAAATATATAT